TTTTAATATTTGTCAATTATTGAATGGGTGATAATCTAATCATATTTTATAAAACAATCAGAATGCAAATTTCTTCTATTATGAAGAAAATGAAGGTCCCAACTGATCTAGTATAGTTATCAGTTGTAAAATTAAAAAAAAAATTGTAGACGACACATCATGACAGTCTTTCAGATGTTCAACAGTTTCTATACCCAGTACCTCAGAGATGACCTCTAGAATCATTCTGTATTATATTAAGATTGTTTTTAGAATCCACACCATGGAATGAATTTAAAACAAGTGTCAAGAAATGTGACACCCAACCAACTTAAGACAGTTTGAAAGCTTCTGAGGTGTTACAGCTACTCAACAGACCTGCTTGATTAAAATGGAGATGAAAATTTTGGAGGCAATAAGCAAATTCATAAAAAACTAGAAGCCCCCTGACTAGCATTAAAGCGGAACTCTCTACTGGAAAACACATAATTTTATCACCAGGCACAAGCAATTATTGATACATCTATTTCTATAAATTAAAATTGTTTAATATTATGCATGTATTACTTTTACAATCTGGCGGCAATATTATTAATTTCCATTCCTGCTAGTTAACACTATTATATTTTAGTCCCCTTTGATGATTTGCGCTGCTTCATCATTAGGAAAAACAGTAAAACAATAACAGTTACTTACATTTGGGGAGACTCTACTATGTATAAAGTACTTACATTTGGGGAGACTCTACTATGTATAAAGTATCATTATAGGTCCTTTCATCATCTTCTATAATATAGGGTATCATTTTAAAAATCACTTTCAAGTACTTCTCAGAGATTATGCCCCAGTACAAGAACAGCAGCAGAGAAACAGACTTCTAGACTGTCATCAAGACTAAAGAGTTACCATAAAAACGTCTGCTAAAGACCCCTTCTGAGCACCAAGTTCACCATCTAAGTTTTGCTTTATTAATCTCCTGACCTATCTACTTGCTCAATCTCAGTCTGTTAGAAGAAGCACAATGGCTCAGGCCTGTAATCCCACCACTCTAGAAGGCTGAGGCAGGTGGATCACTGGAGCTCAGGAGTGCAAGATCAGCCTGACCAAGAGCAAGCAAGACCCATCTCTAAAAACAGCCAGGTGTTGCATGGGGCACCAGTAGCCCGCCTTCTGGGAAGGCTGCGAGTGTTTTCGGTTGCTGTGAGCTATGAGGACTTAATACTCATAAAAGACTTTTTCTTAACAAAAAAGAATAAGCTTTAGCCTTGGAGTGGTTTTTTTTTTTTTTTTTTTTTTTGAGCAGAGCCTCAAGCCATCCCCCTGGGTAGAGTGCTATGGCATCAAAGCTCACAGCAACCTCCAACTCCTGGGCTCAACCTATTCTCCTGCCTCCACCTCCCAAGTAGCTGGGACTACAGGAGCCAGCCACAACTCCTGGCTATTTTTTGGTTGCAGCCATCACTGTTGTTTGGTGGGCCGGGCTGGATTCAAACCGCCAGCTCAGGTGTATGTGGCTGGCACCTTAGCCTCGTAAGCCACAGGCACGGAGCCCAGTTTTTCTATTTTGAGTAGAGATGGGTTCTTGCTTTTGCTCCGGCTCGTCTCAAGCTCCTAAACTCAAGCAATCCACCCACCTCGGCCTCCCAGAATGTTAGGATTATGGGCATGACCCACTGCGCCTGGCTGAAAAGAAATTTGATATAGTCTCATTCTGTTGTTCCAGGCTAGGGTGCTATGGGGTCATAGCTCACAGCAACCTCAAACTCCTGGGCTCAAACGACCCTCTTGCCTCACTCTCCAGAGTAACAGAGACTACAGGTCCAGCTGAACTCAGGAAATTGCTGTGAGCACCCTCACTGCATGTCAGGAAGTGGTTGCAGGATTTGCTCCCTTCTGAGGGTGGGGTGGGGCTGCTAGGCTGGGGAAGGTCACTGGGTCTTCTTCATTCATGTTCAGCAAATGCCAGTATGTTGTAGTTTACTCATGCTGGTTAAATGGATCAATAGTTTATATCACATAGTCTTTATAAATGTAACCCTTAAGAGACAAGTGACCTAAATATTTGTCAAGGCTGGGCGTGATGGCTCACACCTATAATCCTAGCACTGTGGGAGGCCAAGACGGGTGGATCGATTGTGCTCAGGAGTTTGAGACCAGCCTGAGCGAGAGTGAGACCTCTATCTCTACTAAAATTAGAAAAACTAGCCAGGTACCGGGCGTGATGGTGGATACCTGTCGTCCCAGCTACTTGGGAGGCTGAGGCAAGAGGATTGCTCAAGCCCGAGTTTGAGATTGCTGTGAGCTATGATGACAGAGCACTCGACCCAGGTGACAGAGTGAGACTGTCTCAAAAAACAAACTTTTTTTTTTTTTTTTTGAGACGGAGCCTCAAGCTATCCCCCTGGGTAGAGTGC